CCAAGAGAAATTAAATCATCTATCCACCCAAACATCTGAACATGAATGTTCACAGCAGCTTTATCTGAAGTAGTTCCAAACTGAAACAACCAAATGTCTATCAATAGATGAACGGATATACAAACTGTGGTATATCCATACGATAGAATCCTACTCAGCAACAAAATGAGTGAAATAGCTACCGTGGAGCTCACCTGTAATCCCAGAGGCTCAGGAGGCTGAGGCAGGAGGATGGCAGGTTCAAAGCCTGTCTCAGCAACTTAGTGAGGCACTTAGAAATTCAACCTGTCTCTAAATAAAATATTTTAAAAGGGCTGGGGATGTAGCTCAGTGGTTAAGCACCCCTGGGTTCAATCCCCACTACCAAAAAAAAAAAAAGGAGTGAAATATTGATATATGTAACCACATGAATGAATCTCAAAAAATAAATATGTTGAGTAAAAAAAAGAGCCAGAAAAAACATACTATATGGTGCCATTTATATAGAATCCTACAGAATCCAAGCTAATCTACAGTTACATATAGTAGGTCAGTGGTTGTCTGGAGGCAGGGTTAGTGATAAATATGTTCTTTATCTTTCTGTGGTAATTTCCATGGCTACATCAAAACATAACACATTGGGCTGGGGTTGTAGCTCAGTCGTAGAGCACTTGCTTAGCATGTGTGAGGCACTGGGTTCAAATCTCAGCACCACAATAAAAAATAAACAAATAAAGTAAGGATATTTTTTAAAAAAAGAATAGAGTGTTTAAAAATATGTAATTTAAAAAATCTGTTATATCAGCAAAAACAACAAAACCGCCAGTGTCCACTTGCCCCATTCCAAGAGATTCAATTCCATGGGTTCAGAATAGGGTACTCTGTAAAGGTCCCCAGGTGGCTACAATATGCAACCCTGGCTGAGAAGTACTGCGTGCATACTTTTTATCCAGAGTTACTCCCTCAAAGCAGTAGCAGGATTAAGAACAATATTAAGGAGATGGAGGACAAGAAGACAAAGAAGAAAACGTGCTCTGGTAACATTGATGATAATAATTAATGAAGTCCAGTTTGGTTTAAGAGAGAGTGGCCATGACAGAAAATAGCTGACTCCACTAGGTGGCATCTGGACACTTCTCGGTAGTGTCATTTCCAGGGGAACTGGAGATTCATGTCTGAGATAGGTTGTGTGAGAGAGAGAGAGCACTGAGCAGACTTCATTGTTCCTTTGGTAGAGAAAAGCAAGCAGATTTCTTGATGAAGAAAACATCCAGCAACTGAGGAGGATGTGAGCAGGGCCCACATACTCCCCGCAGCTTGACTTCAGAGGCGGAGGAAATTAGATAATTGCATTGTCAGTGTTATTGCACATTCTGGAGTACAAAGAGCAGAGAATAAATCAATGAAGTTCCCCAGAAGAAACATTGAGCAGAAACCACTGCATTCTGCAGATCAGCACCCAATCTTCTCTTCCTCCATTAAGGATGTTCCTCATCCTTTTTACTTCGCTTTCCCCAGGCCACACCAGCCTTGGATCAGTCAATCAAAGGAGACCATGACCAAAGACTGCAAACAGGCCCCCTGTTATTGTGACTCAAGTCTTCCCCAACCAGGCCTGTTGTCTTCTGCTTCTCATAGTCATCACTGTCCCCTCAGCAGGACTCCCTCTCATTTCTAATCCCAGTTGACATTGTCTGGCTTCTGCTGTACAGACTTCTAAGCAGACCCAGAGCCACTTTCCCAAGAGATCACATTCTTAGGTCAACCCTGAAGGGTCACATACTCAAGTGGCCATGATTTAGAGGAGAATAGTCATCTTGTTTGTGATATACTGTCCCTTCTACCATGGAACATAAAGTGAGTCCCCTAAGAATCGGATCAAAAACCACTGAAAAATAACACCAACACCAGAATTTTTCAAATTCTCCCCAGAATCCACCAAAAACCAGGGCTCTTGGGTACACTGGCGCTTGAATAATGCATCTGCTTTGTCAGTTTAGGTAATGTAGGTCTGCCCCTGAGTAAGGGCTTCCCGGGTTCCAGTTACCTGTATCACAAGGATCACTCAGGCTGCCAGTCATACTTCAGAGAAAAGCACAAATGAAGAATAGATAATGTAATCCTGTCATTCTAAGTAAATTTCAATACAGTGCCCTCTTGTATCTGTTTATATGTGTTGGTAAGGCATTCCACACAGGACTTCTTTAAAAGATTCTGCTGAGTCACCGGGCACGGTGGACCATGCCTGTAATCCCAGTGACTCCGGAGGCTGAGGCAGGAGGATGGCGAGTTCAGAGCCAGCCTCAGCAAAAGTGAGGGGCTAAGCATCTCAGGGACACCCTGTCTCTAAATAAAAAAATACATAATAGGGCTGGGGATGTGGCTCAGTGGTTGATAGCCCCTGAGTTCAATCCCTGGCACCAAAAAAAAAAAAAGATTCTGCTGATAAAAAGTTTGCAGAGTACTCTCCTACATTCTCCAGGACACCCTCCTTTTCACACATCCAAGCCAGTTTTACAGATTTGGGTACCCAATATTCAAGTCTTTCCAAAGAGTTAGCTAGCTTCCTCCTTGGAGTACTTTCTCCAGATAGGACAAAAAGCTTATCCCTCTTTGCTCAAGGTTGAGCCAAGGATCCAATAATTAGTTAAGCATCTAGTTCTCCCTGATGCTCAGGGCAGTCATCTAAATAGGTTTTTTCCTGGCTTGCCACATTTCACAAACTTGTAAAGTCAGGCCAGCGTCCTGGAAGTCTCATCCCCACCGCATCCCTGGCACCTCACTTTTTTTTTTTTTTTAGGTGTAGATGGACACAACACAATGCCTTTATTTTTATGTGGTGCTGAGAATCGAACCAGGGTCCAGCCCGAGCTAGGCGAACGCTCTACCACTGAGCCACAATCCCAGCACCACCTTAGTTACTTTCCATTTCAGATTTGGGTCAGTCTCCTAGCATTGATATCATAGCTTCTTTTTCCACTATTTTTTAATTGCTGAGAAATTATTTTTATAAAATGCTGAGATTTAGGGGGGTTGTGGCTGTGGTTGTGGCTCAGTGGTAGAGCGCTTGCCTCGCATGCGTGCGGCCCTTGGCTTGATCCTCAGCACCACATAAAAAAATAGATAAATAAAAAGCAACTTAAATTTTTTTTAAAATGCTGAGGTTTTAAAAATCAATAAAAAGTATAAAGAATCCTCACTTGAGCCAGTCATGGTCTTGTACCCCTGCAATCCTAGTGACTTAGGAGGCTGAGGCAAGACGACTGCAGAAAAGCCAGCCTCAGAAACTTAGCAAGACCCTGTCTCAAAATAAAATGTGCTGGGCATGTGGCTCAGTGGTAAAATGCTCCTGGGTTAAATCCACAGTACCCCCCACCACTATAAAAAGAAAAGGATCCTAATTTGATAAACACCTGTGTATCCACCACTTAGGTAAAGAAATCTCACACGACCATGCACACTACAATCCCCAGGATATTCCTTTTACCTAAACTTACTCCTTTTCCTCTCATCTCCTAGGCAAACCTTATACTGAAATTTGGGTTTATCATTCCCTTGAATTTCTGGATATACTTCCTACATATGTTTGAATCTGTAAATCATATTGTTTAGTTTGGTATGTTTTTAAACTTCCTATCAATTGATTCATACTGTATATATTTTCTTGAGACAATGTTTTTTGAGATTCACCTATATGGTCACAGTAGCTATAATTTATTGTTGCAGTGTTTTATGGTATTCGATTGTATAATATATCAGGTCTTAAAAAAATCCACTCTACTCTTGATGACATTTGGACTGTTGTCAGTGATTTCTATTATGAACAGTGCCGCTGTGAACATTCTTTTACATGTCTCTTGGTGCACATTTACAAGAGTTGCTTTAGGAGTGGCATTTCTGAGTCATAGTGAACCACGTTTAAATTAGCAAGATGATTCCAAACCATTTTCCAAAGCAGATGTTCCAATGTCACTTCCATGATCACACCACATCTTTGCCAGAACTTGATATTGCCCAACTTCCTAGTTTTTAATCAGTCTGTTATGTATATAAAATGGCATTATCTTGTAATTTTATTTTATTCGCAGGATTCCTAAAGAGGTTGAGAATATTTTCATATGTTCATTGGCCATTTATCTTTTCTTAAAGTTCCTGGTTTTTTTAAAGTTGTTGATAGACCTTTATTTTATTTATTTATATGCGGTGCTGAGAATCGAACCTAGTGATTCACACATGCCAGGCAGGCGCTACCGCTGAGCCACAGCCCCCCCTGTTTTTTTTTTTAATATCTATTTTTTAGCTGTAGTTGGACACAATACCTTTATTTTCTAAATTTATTTCTATGTGATGCTGAGGATCGAACCCAGAGCCTTTCATATGCTATGCGAATGCTCTGCCTCTGAGCCAACAACCTCAGCCCTAAAGTTCCCGTTTTGAGTTCTTTGGTCAAAGGGCACAGGCTTCAGAGGTTCAGGACTCAAAGACAGAAGTGTCAGTTTCTCAGGTACTCCACTGAATAAGCAGAGACTGTCTCAGACCAACCTGCAACCAATATTATTCAGTGTCCCTCTAGCAAAATGACTGTCAGATGGTCTCTACAACCTTAGGCAGTCGTCTGGTCAGGATCCAGGCATGCTCCGTGTTCCCCAATCCAGTCAAGCCAGCGGGAGGTCAGCAGGCGGCTCACACCTAAAATGCTATGTAGGACTCTGCACCAGTCACCCCCAGAATTACGCAAATTTTGTTTGGTTCATCCTGTGTTACCAGCACCTCAAGCAATTCGCTATGGGCTAGAGACAGAACCGGGAAAAGGCCTGTAGAACCAGCCCTCAGCGGGAAGGAGGGCACCACGCCTCCACCTCCGCCCGCCGCACACCGCACGCCCAGACCCCGCCCGGAACTGAGCGTCACGCCCAGCTCGCAGCGTGGGGAGCGCGTCACGTGACCGCGCCGGGCGGAGGCAGGCGGAGTCGGAGGCCTGGACGCCGCCTGGTCGCTTAGCAACAGCCCCAGGCGTAGCGATGGAGGCTCCAGTTAGCAGGGAGCAGGAAGCCGGGTATTATTTGAAAAGCCACCGGATCCTGGATCTGCTGAACCACCTCACCAGCGTCCTCCTCTTTGTCAGGCCAGGTAAGGGTGTTGCCACCTAATAGCGTTCTGTGCTGCCCGCCTCCCCGCGGAGACGAGAGGGGGTCCCGAGCCGGCGCTTCGCTGCCTCCTCCTTCCCTCTCCTTTCCTCCCTCCACGCTCTCTAGGCCACCGAGTCCTGCTGTTGCCCATTAACTCTGTGGTCTTCAGTAAACACGTGCAGCTGGGACGACCCCTAGGTGCCAGCCGCTAACCTAGTGCGGCGAGTTAGGCTAGGGGAGCGGTCGTTGGGAAGAGAGGCTTCTCGCTCCACCTCTGCGTACTCCGTGGCATAAGACAAGACTCTGAACTGGTTTCTTGCTCTGAAAAGTGGGCACGATAGTAGAACCGATCTCGTGGGGGAGATTCATATATAAAACAGCCTGTGCTTGGCAAAAACGGATGTTTCCATTGCTACCCCTGCTTGTGAAGAGTTTTTCATACAGTAAGTGCACTAAACAAATGATAGGGTGAGCTAGAAGGGTGTTCTTGGGGAGCAGCTTTTCCTGACATTTTTATACATCTATGCCCCTTAAAAAGTTTGAAACATTTCATAATTTTTGTGTAGTGTGTAATTAAGAAGTTTTGTTAAATCGGGTGTAGTGGCACATGCCTGTGATCCCAGCTACTTGAGAGTCTGAGGCAGGAGGATTCCAACTTTGAGGCCAGCCTGAGCAACTTAGACCCCCATCTCAAAATAAAAAATAAAAAGGGGATGTAGCTCAGTGGTAGATCGTCCGTGGGTTCAAACTATAGTACCCGGGGTGGGGGGAGGAGGGGGAAGTAAAAATGATCATATGTCCTCCCCAGGTTGCAAAACTTCCATGTGGAGTGTCCAAAATGCTAAAACTGTCCATTTCCTTAAATTCTACACATCCTAACACTGCCAAAACCACCCATCCAGTATGATCGTGTTAAGTATGATCAAATTCTTTCTAGTTGTTTTACAGCAGTAAAGCATTAAAAACAAACAAAAAAATATCACTGTAACAGAAAAGGAAGTGAAAAGAAATAAAGACAAAGGAATGCCCTTAACTCTCTTTTTTTTTTTTTTTTTTTTTTAATGCTCTGAGGTTAAATTGATTTCAAACTGATTTTTAAAACGTGTTTTGGAAAAGTGACTATGTCTCTTGCTGGTGCTTGATACTGTAACATTGAAAAGTATTCTGCTGTTCAATGCAGCAGTATGTCTGACTCCACAACTAGTACTCTTGATAGCATTTCAGTGTTCCCAACACAAAGAAATGATAAATATCTCAGGTGGTAGATATGCCACTTACCCTGTTGTATACATGTATTGACATATCCCACTGTAATCCATAAATGTGTATAATTACTGTGTCAAATAAGAATAAAAATATATCTTAAAAAAAGACAAGAGGAAACCAACAGATTTAAAAACATAATGTGAGCGAAGAGACAACTATGGTGTGGGAGAATTTATTTGCAAACTATACATCTGGTAAGAGATAATATAAAAATATACTTAAGGAATTCAACACAATGGTAAAAAAAACAGTGCAATTTTTAAAATGGGGAAAGGACTCAGGTTGATCCCCGGCACCACTCACAAAAAGGAAAGAAAGAAAAAAGCCAAAGGATCTAAAGACATTTCTCAAAAGAAAACATACAAATAAACAACAGGGTATATGAAAAAAAATGCTCTCCATCACTAATCATCAGAGAAATGCAAATTAAAACCAATATCACCTCACAGTTGTTAGAATGGCTATTATTGAATTACAAGTGTCGTCAAGGATGTAGAGAAAAGGGAAATGTGTACACTGTTGGTGGAAATGCAGTTTGGTACGATCATAATGGAAAACAGTAAGGAGGAAGGATCTCAAAAAGTTAAAAAATAGATATATTATGTGATCCAGCAATCCCACTACTGAGTGTATATCCAAGAGAAATGAAACCAGTCTGTCAAAGAGATACCTACACTCCCATGTTCACCACAGCATTATTAACAATAGCCAAGAAAAGGAAACAACTTTGTGTCCATTAACAGATAAGTAAAGAAAATGTGGTATATATTTACAATGGAATACTATTTGTCTTTTTTTTTTAGTTGTTGATGAACTTTTATTTTATTCATGTATTTATATATGGTGCTGAATCGAACCAGTGCCTCACACGTGCTAGGCAAGTACACTACCACTGAGCCACAACCCCAAACCCTGCTATTCATCTTTAAAAAGCAGAAAATCCTGTCATTTGGATGAATATGAAAGTCAGTGTGTTAAGTAAAATAACCCAGGCATAGAAAGATAATAGCACAATATTCTATAATATGCTGAATTTAAGGGAAAAAAATAACACAGAACACAGAAATAGAGCAAAATGGTGGATCCCAGAGACTAGGAGTTTAGGTATTGAGGAAATATTGGTCCCAAAATTTCAGTTATATGAGGAATAAGTTCAAAAGATATATTGTACATAATGGCAGCTACAGTTAATAACAATATATTGTATCTGGGTTGGGGTTGTGGCTCAGTGATAGAGCACTTGCCTAGCATGTGTGAGGCACTTGGTTCGATTCTCAGCATCACATATAAACAAATAAATAAAGGTCCATCAATAACTAATAAAAATAATTTTTTAAAAATTGTGAAGAGAGTAATTTTAAGTGTATTTATCACCAAAAAAAAAAAAAAACAAAGTGAAGTAGCACATGTTAAATATTTTGATTAAGCCATTCCATAACATGTGTATGTATCTATATACACACATCATGTTGTTTATTATAAATGTATCTAATTTTTACCTGTCAAAAATAAATTTAAGGGCTGAGATTATAGCTCAGTGGTAGAGCACTTGCCTAGCACCTGTGAAGCACTGCGTTTGATCCTCAGAACCACATAAAAATAATAAAATAATGGGCTGGGGATATAGCTCAGTTGGTAGAGTGCTTGCCTCACGTGCACAAGCCCTGGATTCAATCCCCAGCACCACAAATGAATAAATAAAATAAAATAAAGGTATTATGTCTATCTACAATTTAAAAGAAAATTTTTAAATAAATTTAAGGGGCTGCAGTTGTGGCTAAGTGGTAGAGCATTTGCCTAGCAGGTGTGAGGCAATGGGTTTGGTCCTTAGCATCACATAAAAACAAATAAAGGTATTGTGTCCATCTACAACTAAAAAAAAAAATTACTTAAATAAATTTAAACATGAAAAGATTTAAGGGCTGGGGTTATGGCTCAGTGGTAGAGCCATAATTCAAAATAAATAAATAAATACATTTAAATAATCTATCACAATGTAGGGACCCTATTTGAATATTTCTTTTTTTTTTTAATTTTTTATTGTTGGTTGTTCAAAACATTACATAGTTCTTGACATATCATATTTCACACTTTGATTCAAGTGGGTTATGAACTCCCATTTTTACCCCATATACAGATTGCAGAATCACATCAGTTACACATCCATTGATTTACATATTGCCATACTAGTGTCTGTTGTGTTCTGCTGCCTTTCCTATCCTCTACTATCCCCCCTCCCCTCCCCTCCCCTCTTCTCTCTCTACCCCCTCTACTGTCATTCATTTCTCCCCCTTGTATTATTTTTCCTTTTCCCCTCACTTCCTCTTGTATGTACTTTTGTATAACCCTGAGGGTCTCCTTCCATTTCCATGCAATTTCCCTTCTCTCTCCCTTTCCCTCCCACCTCTCATCCCTGTTTAATGTTAATCTTCTTCTCATGCTCTTCGTCCCTACTCTGTTCTTAGTTACTCTCCTTATATCAAAGAAGACATTTGGCATTTGTTTTTTAGGGATTGGCTAGCTTCACTTAGCATAATCTGCTCTAATGCCATCCATTTCCCTGCAAATTCTATGATTTTGTCATTTTTTAATGCAGAGTAATACTCCATTGTGTATAAATGCCACATTTTTTTTATCCATTCGTCTATTGAAGGGCATCTAGGTTGGTTCCACAGTCTTGCTATTGTGAATTGGTAGTGCTGGGAATCAAATTTGGGGTTTTGTACCTATGAGGCAAGCATTCTACTACTGAGCTATAATCCCAGCCCCTGGATACTGATTTTTAAAAAATTTTTAAAATTTATAGCATTTGTGAGACAACTGAAACTTGAATACCATCTGAGGATACTAAAAAGATTTTTAAAATGTGTGAATGGTATTGTGATAATATTGTGGTGATATGAAAAAGGAGTCCTTATCTTTTAGAGATGCATAATTCAAATAGCAATGAAACATGATTGCTATGATTTTCTTTGAAATAATAGGTAAAGAGGGGGAAGTAGGTGGGTAACGAGTAAAATAAGATTGGCTGCAAATTTTAACAGTTGAAGTTGGTGGTGAGTTCACTGTATTTTTATACTTTTACAAACTCCTTTATTTTTAAATACACACACACACACACACACACACACATTTAGTTGTAGATGGACACAATACCTTTTAATTTATTTTTATGTGGTGCTGAGGATGGAACCCAGTGCCTCACACATGCTAGGCAAGCACTCTGCTACTGAGCTACAACCCTAGCCCAAACTCCTTTAATTCTTAACAATAAATAGCTCTTTTAAAAGAATTTTTAAGTAAACATAAGGGTAAAAGCTGGGATTGAAATTAAATGATGGTAAAAAAAAAGAAATTAAATGATGGTGCAGTAATAGGGTTTTACCTGCTGTTCCATCTTTACTTCTTTTTTTCTTAACTTCTGACCAGGGATAGAACCCAGGGTTGATCTATCACTAAGCTACATCCCCAGTCCTTTTTCTTTTTCTTTCTTTTTTTTTGGGGGGGGGGGGGGGGGGGTGGGGGGGACACAATCTTGCTAAGTTAGTTGCCCACGTGGCCTGGAACTTGAGATCCTCCTGCCTCAGCCTCCTAAGTAGCTGGGATTATAGACTTGCATCACCACACCTGGCTACTTATGATTTTTTTGTCATGATTGTCATGATTGCCCTGGAAAGTAGATATCCTTTATTTTTCATTTCTAAAATTGCTTTAATGAAAGATAACTTATTTATTCAAAATGTTAGAAATAAATATTTTATGCTTCCTATCTGGAGAACTATATCTGAGTTTCTGCTTTTGTTACCTATATATCATCCCCTCTAGCCAACTTTTCTTACATCTTGCTGTTCCCACTCTTTTCGGTTTGCAATTCTTTAGGTAAGTTAGATTGACTGGGAGATTTTTTTTTTTTAAATGCCCAGGTTCAGTTTCTAGAGTTTTCTATTCAGTCATCTGAAGTAGAGCACTTACGTATGTGATTGTTTAATGTTTTATGTTTCCTGCTGGACTGTAAGTTTCATGAAAGCAAGGTCTGTATCCCCTGGTGTCTAGTACAATACCTTGAACAGGTGTTTAATAGTTGTTAAATGGCTGTTTCCTTTTGTGACATATTGAAATTTCATATCAGAAAGAGTTGGGACTATTCTTTTGCAGAAAACCCAAGAGAATATTTAATCTCTGTGTTGGAATGTATGAGAATTGCTAAAGAAACAAATGTAGCTTTTCCTTACTTTATGGATAACTCTAACATCACGGCCATGTTTGAGATGCTGGACAATTCAGGCAAAGGCACCATATCATTTGTACAATACAAAGAAGGTTAGTATTTTCTACAAATTGAAGGAATAATTTATGATCATTTCATAACTTTCTCTAGTTGAAAAGAATCCTCATTTTGCAAATTTTCATTTCTTCTCATTCTGATGTTTACAGCACTAAAAACCCTGGGTCTATGTGATGCAGATGAAGATTTAAAGGATGATGGACATATAATAAATCTGAATAGGTTCAAGGAGGAAGTGTAAGTCTATCTTTTAAATAATGATTTTAATAATGTAGCATGATTTTCAATTATTTATTATTTTAAATTCTGTTGCAAATGGGTTCCTCCCTTTTGAGAAAAACCTTTCATTTCCCTGAAACTTGCAGCAACTAGAAAGTGAGGACAGGTGTATGCCTATACTCCCAGCAACTTGGGAGTCTGAGGCAGGAGGATACCAAGTTCAAAGCCAGCCTCAGCAATTTATCGAGGCCTTGTCTAAAAAAATTTAAAAAGGGCTTGGATGTGGCTCAGTGGTTAAGTGCCCCTGGGTTCAATCCCTGGTACAAAAAAAATAAATAAATAAAAATAAGAAAGAAAAAGAAAAAGAAAAGAAAGAAGGAAGGAAGGACAGGCAAGGAATGTTCCCTTCTGGGAAATGCTGGAGTTAGGATGTTCCAGAGGCAATTTCATTCTTTCCTCAAGGAAACCTCAGCAATTCTCAAAGGATGACAGAAACCTAGTCTGCTAAAACTAACAGAAGAGCTTTGAGCTCAACACACTAGTTGAAAAGTTTCTGTACACAGTAATAGAATTTATCTCAAAACTTACTTATTGCAAAGTAAATGTTTATCAATAGTGTAATACACATTAGCCTGACAGTTTTAGATTTGAGATATTATAACCAGTGTTGAAAGTACTAAATGCGGGGCTGGGGATGTGGCTCAAGCGGTAGCGCGCTCGCCTGGTGTGCGTGCGGCCCAGGTTCGATCCTCAGCACCACATACAAACAAAGATGTTGTGTCCGCCGAGAACTAAAAAATAAATATTTAAAAAAAAAAAAAAGAAAGTACTAAATGCTCTGTCAGGAAAACTATTGTAATAAAATTTGATATTTGTAGAAAGGTTCTAGTTAATTTAGCTCAATTTGTTTGCAAGTTTTACTCTCTGAGGATTTATTGATCAAGAAACCATTATTCAGGGCTGGAGTTGTGGCTTAGTGGTAGAGCACTTGCCTGGCATGTGTGAGGCCCAGGGTTCAATCCTCAGTACCACATATAAATAAATAAAATAAAATAAAAGATCCACTGGCAACTAAAAAAATATTTTAAAAAAAGAGAAAGAAACCACTATTTAGTATAGCCCAAAGCCAAGGAAAAGTCAGAAGAAAAAAGAAAGTGCAATATTTTTGTCACACCAGTGACAAAAATATTAAACAAAAATGTTTAATTACATCTTCTACCATAGGGGAAAGACTGAGGCAGCGTGCTCTAGCCTAAAATGTTTCATCCAGAGAGAAAAAGTTTCCACTGTCACAAAGAATGGAACTAAGTATTTTATTTACTTATTTTGTGGCTAGGGAATGAACCTACAGCCTTTCACTTGCTCCAAGAGTATTTTAAATGGAAAGATAGTTACAGAACATGAAGAATAATCCTAGCTAATTCACCATCTCATAATTTGTTTTCTCATGGAAATATACTGAAGTCACAAACTGGGTACAGGAACCTCAATGATAAACATGCATTCTTAAGTGACTTTTAAAAAATTTATTGGCTATGTTTGATTATCCACAAAAGTTTCCTTTAGCACAGGAAGTTGAAAGTTATAATTTCTTTGCTTTTGTATTTTATTCAACATATATATTCAGCATTTATATTTGTAAATGGAATTATTCTGAGTTTCCATAGTTTTCTGTTTTTGGTTTTCTTAGGAACAAGAGGACTCGGGAAATATGGTCATCATTTTGGTAATACCATGAATTCAAGATAATAAATGATTCAGTAAAGTTGTCATTTGTCCAGTTTCATGAATTCAGAACATCTTCATAACTTTAAATCCAACTGCCTTCCTTTTTGTTTAAAAAAAAAAAAAACCCACAACTTTTTCTGAAAGATGGATTATTTTCCAGTGTTAGGCCAGTTTGTCCTCAAATTAAGTAGAATTTCAACATCTTGTTGAGCCAGTTTGTAAATTCCAACTTCATTTAAAGCTGCTGTGGCAGTAAGCTGCCCTGAAGCTGATTGCAGTACATCTTTCAGAAGTAATGCAGAACCAATGTTCAAATTCAAAACAATACAGGCTTCTTTTACACTGTTTAGGGGGGGAAAAAAAAGAAAGGAGGTAAACAGAATTTTTTATTATCTCTGTCATCCATATTGTAATAATTTCATTTTGAGAAGCTAAAGTTTCCCTGTGCTGCTGCTGGTCAAATATCCTCTCTATCAAAACTATTTTTGGACTAATTATTTGTCTTTTCAAATATGTTGGGACTATAGAGGTGCACAAAATTTGTAAGTTCATTAGAATTTGTAAGTTTATAAGGTACTAGAATCATGCTTCCAATATGCAGCCATTTGTTCTCTAAATAAAATACTTGGTACTAATAGTCTATTAAATATAGCTACCACTTTAGGTCCATTAGGGTATGGGAAAACAGAAAATTAAGAGATTAAAAATGAAAGCAGAAGATAGATAGAATACTAAAATAAATCTGAATATATTTCTAAGAATTATTCTCACATACATTTATATAATTACACTTAGAATCACAATATCAAATGTGTAAGAAAAAATTTTCTTCTGGCCTGGCTTATTGTTAGGTATTAAACACATCTGTAATTGCTTACATTTACTGAATATAGCAGAAACCACAGTTGCTTTCATTTTCTATTTATTCTCCCAGGAATAAGCAACTGAGAACATTAAACCAAATGTTTAGGAAACAAAGTCCAACTGGATAATTTAAATCTACTTCTGGTCAATTTTCTGAGGTCATGGGTCATATCTCATAAATGATTTTGCTTTTTCTATTGTGCTCTGAACATACAGTAGCTATACAATCAATGTTTTAAGATTTTAATTGATCTCCTAAGTAGAACAAAATATATTCCATGCATGTATAATTTTATCAAAATACTCTTGTCATGTATAACTAAAAAGTTCCAATTAAAAAAAAGATTTTAATTTCTTATTCCACCAAACATCAGCAGAGTTCTTAAAATTGCTAAAAGCAAATCAACCTTCTCTAATAATTTGATACATCAATATTAATTGTTAAATATTAAGCTTACTGTTTAAAATAATTTTCTGGTCTTTTGCAATAATGAGAAAACAAAGGGAAAAGGTTCCGAGTCATATCAAACTGCAACTGGGCTGCTCCTCCTTCATTGAAGTGATTAGCAAGAATTATCTGAAACAAAGAATAATTCATGTTAACAGCTGCCTTTAATTATCATAGCCCCCAAAAAATTTCTACTCTTACTTCTTTTTAAAAAATTTTTATTTATATAAGCATTACAGTTCATATTATACATATTGAGCACAAATTTTTCTTTCTTTTTTTTTTATATATAACAGCGGAATGCATTACAATTCTTATTACATATATAGAGCACAACTTTTCATATCTCTGATTATGGTATATTCACACCAATACGTGTCTTCATACATATACTTTGGATAATAATGTCCATCACATTCCACCATCATTTCTAACCCCATGCTCCCTCCTTTCCCCTCCCACCCCTCTACCCTATCTAGGGTTCGTCTATTCCTCCCATGCTCCCCCTCCCTACTCCACTATGAATCGGCTTCCTTATATCAGAGAAAACATTCGGCATTTTGTTTTTTGGGATTGGCTAACTTCACTTAGCATTATCTTCTCTAACTCCATCCGTTTACCTGCAAATGCCATGATTTTATTCTCTTTGTGTATATATGCCACATTTTCTTTTTTTACTTACTTCTTGATATAGGTATACATCCAGCTTTTCCACAAGCATTTGCCAGAAAATTTTAAATAAGGAGAAACAAAGCTGCTGTTCCAGTTGAAGTAAACGGTCTCGTAATATAAGCAATAATGGGCAGGCTGAACTGGATAGGGACATTACTGCCTGTTCTGATTGAGATGGCAAGGATAACCATCTGTTAAAAATAAATAAATAAAATAAAACAAAACACAACTTACATTTTTACCCTAAAAATTTTTTATCACTCTTTTTGTGGGGCTAGTACTGGAGATTTAGCCCAGGGGTGCTTTACCACTGAACTACACCCCTGGCCCTTTTTTATTTTGAGACAGTCTTAATAAGTTGTATTGTGAGGCTGACCTTGAACTTGGATCCTCTTATCTCAGCCTCTTGAGTAACTAGGATTACAGGTGGGCACCACCATATCTGGCTTATCATTGTATTTTTAAATCTTTAACAAATTATGTTATATTTGGAGACCTGTACTGCCTGGGGAATTTTGGATGAGAAAACAGGTACAATATTAAAAGTTCTCTCAGAAAGCAAATGTACCTATGTTTATATTTTAGCTGTCAATGAAATACCTTTATTTAATATCATGATGATACATACACTTTAAATCCCAAAATTTTAATATTTGACTTATTGATATAAAAGTTTTAAAAAAATTAAACTGGGTATGGTGACACACATCTGCAAGCCAAGCTACTCTTGAGACTGAGACAAAAGGATTACAAGTTCCAGGCTGTCCTGGGCAACTTAGTGGACCCTGTCTCAAGATAAAAAGGGGTGGAAATGTAGCTCAGTGGTACAGTACTTGCTTAGCATATGCAAGGCCCTGGATTTAATTCAAGTACTGAGAGAAAAAAATTAAAATGTATGTTTTGAAGGTTTGGGGTTGTGGCTCAGCAGTACAGCACTCACCTCGGATGTGTGAGACCCTGGGTTCGATCCTCAGCACCACATAAAAATAAATAAACAAAATAAAGATATTATGCCCATGTATAACTAAAAAAAAAATTTAAAAAATTATTTTTTAAAAAAATATATTTTGTTTTAGTTGTAGTTGGACATAATACCTTTATTTTATTTTTATGTGGTGCTGAGGATCGAACCCAGCGCCCCGCGCATGCTAGGCGAGCGCTCTACCGCTGAGTAAAAAAACCTCAGCCCCTAAAATGTATATTTAGTATTTGAGACATCAGCTACTTTTATGCTCTAGTTTTCAGCAAAAAACAACAGTGATGAATAACACTTCCAATCTGATTGAGGTCCTCTGTGTGGCAGGGACTGTGGTATGTCAAATACATATTGCTTGTTCTTAAGCAGCTCATGTTCTGGTGGAGGTCACAGATGCCCTCAGGGAATTATGGTAATGGAATAAATTGTACAATGCAAAGATGCACAGGTTGCTGTAGGAGCACCTTACTTTGAAACAAACAAGTGACAGGCTGGGCTGTTTGACCCTAGCTCTCTGTATTTACAATAGCTGAGGACTAAATTATAGTAGCATAAGTTTATTCTGATTAAAAATGTCCAAGAATATATTTTAGAAAGATTTATATCAAAAACAGTTAAAGTTTGGGCCTAGTATGCACAAGGCCCTGCATTTGATCCCCAACATTACAAAAACAACAACAAAAAACTAAAGTTTTGAGTACAACAGGCCAAACCCTGTTTCTATCTAGACACTTTGGAAATTTGACTGCATGTACCATCTTTCAACTTTTACTAAACTGGCATAAAGAGTTAACTTATACAAAGTACCTACCTTTCTTTCTTATAAAATTTTGCAGCATCTTTAACTTCTCTAAAAACATGGTCTACTTGACGGGTCAACATATCATGCTTTAAACGCTCTAAGAGGTTAATCATGTCGTCAAAGACAGAACTCTCCATAGAGGCTAGTTGTCCCAGCTGCAATTTACTGAGGGTATTATTCTCTGCAAAAACCTCTAGGGCTGCCTGCTGAAGTTGTAGAAAGAACTGAAACAAAAAACACATTAACACATTTATTAATACACTTCAACATCTTGAAATAGAATTTATATATCATACAATTCACCCATCTCAAGTGTATATAGTTCAATTGTTGTAGTAAATTTAGAATTGTGCATCCATTACAATTTTAGGACATTGTCATTAACATCTTAGTACCCCCAAACTCTCATTCTTAGTCTTTATCCCCCAATTCTCTCCCTACTCCCTTCAACCCTAGGCAACCACTAATCTACTTTTTGTATTGATTTGCCTACCCTAAGCATTTTAATGTGTGTTTTTTGTGATTGTCTTCCTTTATTTAGTATAATGCTTTGAAGTTTTGTAATATTGTAACATTAGTATGGTATGTATGTTAATGTATGAACATACTGAATTTTATTTATGCACTCATTAGCCAATAAACATTTGGATTATTCCCACTCTTTATTATGAATAATGCTTCTTTGAACAATTGTGCACAAAGTTTTATGCAGACATGTGTTTTCATTTCTCTTGGTATAAAACTATAGGAGTGGAATTGCCAGATCAAATGGTATTTCTACATTTACTGTTGAAAGAATTGCCAGGCTGTTTCCTACAGCAACTGCTAGGTGCTTAACCACTGAGCCATATTCTGGGCCCTTTTTTATATTTTATTTAGAGACAGGGTCTCACTGAGTTGCTAAGTGCCTCACTAAGTTGCTAAGGCTGGCTTTGAACTCAGTCCTCCTACCTCAGCCTCCCAAGCTGCTGGGATTACAGGCATGCTCCAGCATGCCTGGCTAGTCATTTTCTTTCTTTCTTTCTTTATTTGTAGTTGTAGATGGACAGACTGCCTTTATTTTACTTGTTTATTTTTATGCGATACTAAGGATCAAACCTAATGCCTCACACATGCTAAGCGAGCACTCTGCCACTGAACTATAGCCCCAGCCCTAGTCATTTTTACTTGTGGTATTTTGCATTTTCCTGATGGCAAACATGCCCGTTTATTCATTTTTCTTGATATAGACTGAGAGTTGTAGGGAACTTGGAATACATGAAATTTAAGAGAGTTAAA